TAAATTAACTCTACAAGCTTGTCAGTGACTGGTTTACTTTTTCATAGACCTTGGACCTAGGGTCAACAAATAATTTCTATTTAAATAAAATCTACAAAGGGAAAGATTTTCACCTCTAAGTAAGTCATAAAATTTGAGGGGACCAGAGCAATAGTACAACAGATAGGGCACTTGCTTTGTATGCAGCTGGTCTGTTTTAAATCCTGGGCATCCTAGATGGTCACCCAAGCCCTGCAACAAGTGATCTTTGAGTGCAGAGCCAGGAGTAAACCCTGAGCATAAAAAGATATGTCCCTGCTCCAAACATTAGCCATAGAGTTTGAAATTTCAATGTAGATTCTTGGGCATACAGTGCTGATAGAAGTCAAAAATTGTCAAAATTTGCACAAAATATTCTGGGATAATTTTCATGCAAATAATTGAAAAATATTCTGAAGGATCTAGAATCAGAAGTAATTCTGACACAGAAATGCATATTTATAAGACAAAGCAAGAGAATCTTTGGGAAAAAAAATAATGAACCTTACTTTATTGTCGGGCTGGAGTGATAGCACAACGGGTAGGGTGTTTGCCTTGCACACGGCGGACCTGGCTGACCCGGGTTCGATTCTCCGCCCCTTCAGAGAGCCCGGCAAGCTACCGAGAGTATTTAGCCTGCACGGCAAAACCTGGCAAGCTACCTGTGACATATCCGATATGCCAAACACAGTAACAATAAGTCTCACAATGGAGATGTTACTGGGCCCCCCGGAGCAAATTGATGAACAACGGGAGGACAGTGCTACAGTGCTAAATTTATTGTCATTATGTGTTGAAGGAAACTGGATCCCGTCTCGCTCCTGGTCTTCTGGTATAGTCTGGGTATCTCGCCTTTTTGTAAAAAGACCACCAACCATAGGCCTTACTGGTGTTCACAATTTAATAAGCAACAGAGAATACTTACTCTCAAAATAAGGACAGGAGGTAAATAATCTGAAAATAAACTTCTCCAATCCAATTACTAAAAAATTCTGGAAGAATTAATATGGAGAGATATCCCAAGAATATTTTATCTACCTTTAATCTTGGGGTGCTGGTGGAGCTTTTACTTTTTTCTCAAGTGTGGAAACCTTAGGTTAAAATCAAAGCTCTTCTTAGGTACATAAGAAGAATATGAATTTGTATATTCACTATACGTATTTCTCTTTTGCTTAATGTACTTCAGTTCAATAGTTATTTTATTTAAATACTTTTGGAGGTTGACTCAAATTATTGTGGAGGGGATGGGAAAATAAATGAAAGAATAAACAAAAATGTCGAATATTGAACATTATGAGGAGGAAATTAGATTCACTTTCAATACTTTCTCCTTGCTCCTGTTACCACTTCTTCCACTTCAGTGATCCCATCAACTCTTCAAAGAGGCATGAGAATTGTCACAAGGAAAATGCTACATATGCATCCTTATTAGTTAAGATGACTATTAATTGAGATGTAATACTTCCCCAACATTGTTGTCTGGTTTGCTTTGTTGGTTCCTGGTATTGAGAATTATTAAATCATAATGGGGAAGCTGAGCTTGAGTCTGGCGCCTTAGACCACTCGGCCATCCTGACACTCTAGACTTTCCTGTTCTAAAGTAACAAATTTAATAAATCTGCACCCAAAAGAATAATAGCATGACTCAAAATACATGTAATTCTACTGCTCAGATATTGTTTGGGTGTGTGGGGGAAAATAGGAAATCAGAAAGATAAATCTATTTCAAAAGGCATCACCAGTGACTCAGATCCAATGGAAGAGAAAGTCACCACACTACATAAAAGACCAGAGACACCTGAGGATTTAGCAGAAATATTTTTTTTAGAAAAAAAAAGAATAGTAAAAAAAAAAGAAAACAATTAGGTTATCAGTTAGACTGGTGCCTTTATTCAAAAAATATATATCTGCTATGGCTGTTTCTCTATTGTATCATTTCCTTTTATCTTCCCATGATTTTAAATGTAAATATTCCAAGCAACAATGTGTCCTTATTGTCATCACAGTATTAAAGTTGTTAATAGAGCTTCATAAAAAAAAAGAAAGATCAATCTACTGAGTGAAATTCAGAGTATATATATTGGGCACTTACAATCATTCAATGTATCTTATTTTTAAATAGTTTAGAAAAGGTCACTATAACAATGTTAATCAATTGTAAGATTTGACTAGAACATAATAAAATCTTAGCCAAGATATGTTTTTTTGCAAACTCTCCTCTGACCATAATGCTATGCACATAGTAGGCCTTCATTGAAAGAAGGAATCTTAAAGCAACACCTTGCCCTCATTGAGAATCATCAGTAACTCATGCATTGCATACCCTTTAAGAAAGCCATGCTTCCCCCCCACCCCCATGAAGCTGGAGTCTATGTCAAATGTCTCCTGCAGGTATACACACACACACACACACACACACACACACACACAGTTACTTAAGCTCACACAGCCTCACATACATTGGGGAAATGCTCCCACCATATCCCTTCATGACTGTGAAACATACAGTTGTAGTTATACATAAACTGCATTTAATCACCTTAATGTCCATCTTTCTGTCAAATCAAAGAGGTTATAAATTAATTTCTAAGGGACATTTTAAGTAAATTTCATAAGAATTTAAGGTCACTATTCTAACCAGCAGCTGTGTCTTCCCTGCAATAAACTTGTTGCACATTTTCAACTACATACTTTTTTAAAAAAAACAAAACAAAACAAACAAACAAAAAAAACCAAGTCAGCATAGGGGGAATAAAAATATATGAATTGCATCACCAACTTAATTTTGTTTTTAGTAGACTATATATCTGCATATGGAATGAAGAGCCTAGAAAGCCCACACTATTCCCACAATTGCTTCTCAGAAACAATGCACATTCTACGCAACAAAAGGACAGTTAATGAAGTTTATGTCTCAATGAAGCAGATAATTATTCAAAACTGTGTTCGTAAAGCTTCAGAATCAAGGACTTGACTGTGGGAACAAAATGTTTTTTGGGGCAGGATACCCTAGATAACCTCACCCACATGTATTTCTCAGACAATGTTTTTCTCTATGTAAACAGAAAATAGAAAGGAGTATACGGTTTTTTTCCTTAGCATTAAATAGCTAGCTTTGCTTTAGTGGGTTCTTAAATTTCTACACAATACATAGCCTTCAGCACCCCAAGGAGCAGAAACAAAGGATATCAGGCAAGTTCACCTACTCCCACTTTCCAGAACAATGCTTGTTGTTAACTAAGCAATTCCCTGGGTAGATTTGTGATTTGTGGAGTCTAAAGAAAGTACTCAGGTTGGGTCTTTGGAATTTGAGGTCAGAAGCACGTGGTACCCATACAATTTCCAGGGCTTTTGGAAAACATGAAAATGTGACCTAAAGCTTGTGCTTACTTGTATACCAGAGACTATTTAGGCATCTAGAGAAATCAAGGCCTCAAAGAAGCTAATTGTTCCCATTCCAAGATTTAACCTTTTCTGGCTTATTTATCCTTATGCTTTTCCTTGTGGAAACACATAGTATCTCTATGTATTTTAAAAGATCCTATTACAGTAACAAATTGCAGAAGTTTGTAGATTTGAAAAGTCCATTTCCTGAAACAGAGGAGTAAACTTTATTTTAGACATAATTTCCTATTCAGAATTATAACTCTGATCCTTGTCCTATATTCTTAGGCCCCTGGGTTTCTCCAAAGAGAGAACTTTTATTTTTTGTTTTTGTTTGTTCGGGGGTCATACCAGCTATAGTCAGGGATTAATCCTGACTCTGTGCACAGGGATCAGTGCTGGAGGTGTTTAGGGGACCAGATATGGTGCCGAGAATTGATCCTGGGTCAGCCGCATGCAAGGCAAGCACCTGACCTGCTGTATACTATCTCTTCAGCCCCAAGAGAGAATTTGTAATCCGTATACTTAATTTATACTCAACATTTGTATGAGGATTGTAAGTAATCAGAACTATAAATATTGAAAAGTTAAAAGCAAACAAGCACTTGGACAAACTTTCCTACTGCCTTTTTCAGAGAATATTCTGGCTAGATTTTCTACCACACAAATTTATATGATGCTATTATCACATAAAATAGGAGTTTGGGAGTAGTTTCTCCTCCCTGTTGTAAGACTTAAGTGAAAGTAAAATAGGTTTCCATTTTTATGAGTCTAATTATAACTGATTCATTAAAATTATAAAATAATTAAATGTCATTGCTATTCTTACTCTTTAATAGTAAGCTACTAAATATTATAACTCAGCCAGAAAATACTATAAGACACAATGTTTCCATAATTTCAGAGTTGTCTAAAATATCTGATTATACAATTTAGCTATTCAATACAATCTATGCAGTTAGTATAGTATAAAAACAGATAACTCAGGCTCATGGGTCACTGAAGTTGCTAGGTCTTTCAAGAACTCTAATCAATTATATATTATTCCAAACTATAATCTAAAATATTAAACTATAATCTAAAACTATAAACTAAAATATTATTCTATCATTCTAATTGATTCTATGGGAAGTTAACTGGCTAGTTCATGGTCTATAACAATGATTAAATCATACATTTTTCCAGGAAAAAAATATATTCCACTAAAGTTTTCAAAGAGATTCTGGTGTTTGTAATTTCCTTAAGTGGATACTAAATTAAATGATGACATTTTAAAAGGGTTAAAAACATTAAAAGATATATAAATAATAGAACCAATATCACAAGCACAATGTAGATAATGAAAAAACCTTGTAAAAATCACAAGGCTGTTCTGAAAAAAAAAATAACAAAGTTAGGAAGCTCTGAGTTAGACGACAAAGGCTGATAAAATCCAGTCTTCAATTCTGGCACAAATGAAAAGAACATAAATGCCTTCTCGATTGAGCCTTTCTTGTCTTTTAGCTAAAGTGGAAATGCCTGCCTAACACCTACCAGTGAAAATCACTGAAACAGTTAAGATTAGTGAGAAGAAAACAACAAAAAGAGCAATTTCCTACCCATTGCCTCCCACTGAATGAACTTTTGACATATCAGCAAACTCTTCTTTCCTCTTGCTGCTGCTGGTGTACTGCTCGCTGTACAGCTTGAGGGACATCTGCTCAATCGCATCTCTTTGTGCTTCCAGGTAGCATAGTTGAACCTCAGTCTGGAGAGAGAAACAACGAATTGCTGTTTGAATCCAAAAGGAATGCATTCATTGCAAGTGAGGTAGGACAACTCAAAGAATGGGAATTGTTCAAATCACTCTACCGCTCCTTTTGAGGTTGTATTTAATGGAATCAACTAAGCATATTCCAGAATTATATTTTACATTTGAATCTTAGAACTTTTTCCTTAAAATATGACCTGAATAAATGAAGCCTCAGAAGACTCAGTAAATATCACAGAATATCTCTGAGCTCCAAACACAGAACTTTATGGAACAGTTCTATGAAATTCTCTAATATTATTTTTCTTCGTATTACCACTCATGTGTAACAGTTATTTTATAGAGTCTCCTTTAAGCCAGACACTTGGATGAACACACACTCTGAGCTCTTCGCATTATCTTCTCTCAGATTAAAAAAAGCATACTACTCATTCCACTGCCTCTCTAGTAGTGACAAGATGCTTTCTTTATGATACTTTTTTGGGGTTCTCTGTATGATTATCTTGGCAGTTATACACTATACACCATATACATACTGTTATATGGTATAGTGATTTTGCTTACATGGAAGTTTGAGTAGTTCAGTCTTTTCTAGTACCTTGCAGCTCACAGTAAAAGAGAGGTAGTAAGTTCACTAGGCTGTTTTCTATCAAGTCAAGACCAAAGAATGCTGAATAATATTTGGCATGGAAATGTACTGAGTAGATGCTTTATTTATTGCAGCTGTTGTAATTTCTGTGGCTTTAGTTTTCCTAGAGCACCAGATGAAACCGGGAACAAAGTCTTCTAGCCGCATGTTTGCCCATGGGAATGGGGATGGGATGGTATTGAGTCCATGTGTCCTGTGGGCCAAGCCACCCTAATTCTTTTGTGGCATGCATCTGTTCATGCTAATGGATATTGCTGATGAGCCTTCAGACAGCTACTTCTTTATAATTTTACTATGTAGCCTAACAAAAACAGTTCTGGGTCAGCTATTGGGGGACTGCCAGAATTCTGTCACATATAAGAAAAACTAAGTCAGACATGATCTTCCCTGCTTTGTGTCCAGAGCCAAACAAGGCTTTTTACTTAGTGTCTAGTCATACAGACCCTACAGTAAAGAAGAAGACAGGAGTGTTAAAAAGTGCCAGCTACTTCAAGGGACAAATTATTAGACTCTGGAAATGAAAGTGGTGACTTATGAAATGTAATATATTAAACCATTCTGGAGATGCCTTCCATAAGCAGTTACCACCATCAGTATTCAGGACTATGCTAGATTGCAGAGAAATTTTTAAAATGCTAAAATCATTAAATATAGGTTATTGAAATTTCAGAAAGCAGTTTAAAATGGCAATTCATATAGCAGTCCACGTGCACTTTTCTTGCCCAAACTAATTGGATTAAATAATAATAGACTCAAACACCCTAGATCAGTGTTTCTCAATCCATATCCAACTGTGACCCTTCTATGACCCTCTGTGACACCCCTGTCATTCTGGTTAGTTTCTTTGCTTCATGGTTCCCCTTTTCTGTGATTTTCACTACAGTAAAGTAAAGTAAAGTAAAGGCCCTCCCGTTGATCATCGATTTGCTCGAGCGGGCCCAGTAACGTCTCCATTGGAGACTTTGTTGTTACTGTGTCTGGCATATCGAATACTCTCGGTAGCTTGCCGGGCTCTCCGAGAGGGGCGGAGGAATCGAACTCGGGTCGATTACAGTACCCTGGTCACTACAGTACCCTTGGAATATACTGAGAGCTTACAAAGAGCAATGTGATCTGCCAGTTGGAAAACACTTCTCTTGACTAAAAAATGGAATATGAATACGTTCCATTTTGTGGGGTGAGTGGTGTGGCTGATGTGAAGACACAAAGGAAATGCTAGATGAAGAGCGGTTTATCACTTAAAAGAATTTTTTTTCTGGGGGAGAGGGTTTGAACAATACCTGGCAGTGCTCAGGGTTTACTCTTGCTGCTCAGGAGATCATATGTGTTGTGAGGGTTTGAAAAGAGGTTAGTCACCTACGAGGCAAGTGCTTAACTCTTGTATAGTCTCTCCTGTCCTACTTATTATCTTAATATTTAAGTGAAAGAAGTGTATATTAATGGAATTATAGAAGAATCCCAACTAAGAGATTTTCAGATAATAATGGACATGGAGGAGCAATATTTGTGACCTAAAAATATCCATCTAAAATATGGGTCAAAAAGGCAGCTCAGATAGAAAAGGGACCACCAAGTAAAGGGTATTTGGAAGGCCCACTCAAGATGGGAGATGCATGCTGAAAGTAGACTACAGACTTAATATGATAGTCAGTCAATACTTGCATTTCAGACCACAACCCCCTAAAGGTGAGAGAGAGAGTAAAAGGGAATGCACCCACCACAGAGGCGGGAGGGGGGGAGGAGGGGGAGAGTGATGGGGGATGGGAGCAATACTGGGAACATTAGTGGTGGAAAACAGGCACTGGTGGAGGGATAGGTACTCAATCATTGTATCATTGTATGACTGAAACATAAACACAAAACTTTGTAAGTCTGTGATTGTACCTCACAGTGATTCATAAAAAAATTTAAAAAATTTAAAAAATAAATAAAATATGGGTCAGGAATATGTGACATAAAGTGGAACATATAGGGCCACTGATTATTTAATAAAAACAACAGGACATAGCTTTCAAAAGAGCATGTGATACTTTTATGAAACTAAAATGATATAATATAAATAATAAATAGTCAAATAATTTTTAAAAAGAAACACAACAATCCTCCAGATTCTATCCCCCCCACACACTCCTCACATGGTCAAAACTATTGGGATAATAAAGAGTGTATCTCAAGTATTCCACTGGAAACCCTTTTAGAATAATGTATCTCTATTAACACTAGATAGCAAGTGGTATATTTGATCCCTAGCAGTTCCTCTTAGTTCTAACCATCCTCAAGTAACAAGCTGAGCAACTGCTTTTTCTGGGTAATGATCTCACAAATGTGTGACACCAGTCACAAAAAGCATCGTAAAGATGGATACTTATTTAATGTGTAATACTACAAAAATGCACCTTAAGACCGACCTGCGCTCCCAGAGCTTGGCCGTCATGGCACTGTAGGAGGTATGTGAGGCCTACCTGGTGGGGCTCTTCAGGATACCAACTTTTGCACCATCCATGCCAAGTGTGTCACCATTATGCCCAAGGACATCCAGCTGGTGTGCTGCATCCTCAGAGAGAGGGCATAAATTTCATGATGCTAAAATCTCAGGGCTGGGACAAATGGAGACACTACTGGTGCCCGCTCAAGCAAATCGAAGATTAATGGGATGACAGTGCTACAGTGCTACTACAAAAAATAATTGGAGTTAAGTACTTTGATATAGTTTGCCATTTCTGCATGCTAAGACAAATACCTCCCACATGAGAGGGATACATGGAAAAGAGTGAAGAGAATAACACTGAGAGTAACTCAAAAGATAGTCACATTAGAAAAATAATTGAAATGTTGTAATTGAAAACTTTTATTACACAGTATCTCTTGGCATTTGACATAGAAAACTCATCTGTACTATCAAGGAGATGAATTAGATAGCCTAGGTCTTTCCTATCCACCTCTATTTCTAACCCTGCTTTCAGTGATTCATTCCTAACTGTGACGATAAAAATAGAGCCAAAGTAGCTCCTTCTGCTAAGGTTAAATGACTTACCAGTTTAAGTCTTTCTACAGACTGTCGTAACTTTTTCTCCTACTATGTCTTAGTTCACTAAGATTTTTAGGAGAAATATTTGAAGAAAATACAGTCTTAAAAAGACAGTAACAATGAATATTTTGAAAAAAAAAAAGCACAGTCCAAACTCCCAAGGGATAGCAGTACAGTGAAAAATCATGCCAACAACAACAACAACAACAAAGAACCATGCTAACAAATTACAAGTATGCCAAGTGAAATGGTTGTGAAGAAGGATAGGAAATAAAACACTTAAAAGTGCCCAAAATCAGGAACGTGCAGTAAAAGTTCAATAGAGGTGGCATTTGAATCATATTTGGGATTATAGGGTATTTTGTTTTGGTCAGGAGAAGAAACAAATGGCTGTTTTTTATATTAGTTTATTTGTTCAGGGGCCCAGAACTATAAAAAGTGGAGGCAAGTTCAGAGAATGGTGGCTGAAATTTTGGGATTTCTTACAAAGGGAATATCACAGAAAGGAACAGATTGTGTACCATGTCTGGTTAGAAATTTGGAAACTAAACAATATGCTAGTGAATGATGTCACTGTTTCTGTGACGGTCTTAATCTTCCTCCATCACCTTCATCTGCCCTAGAATAATAGTCATCTAATGAATCAATAAAAATATGCTCAGTATAGCTCCTCTCTTTGGCACACTTGAGAACCCTGCATTAATATAGGAACCAACATGTTACCCCAAGTCAGAAGTCCTAAATATAAGTTCCTGTGAGAGCCTAGGAACTTGCACTTCTAGAAAAACTTAACCACACCAAACTCTGTCCCTCCCAACTAATATGTTGAAACTATAACCCCTAATGTGACTGCATCTTAAGATAAGGTCATTCGGGGGTGATTAAGGTTAAGTAAAGCCACAAGGGTAGGACCTAAACCAACAAATCATATGTCCATAAAAGAAGGTAAAAAGATTCTTTGGAGGACACACAATAAAAAAGTCACTTGAGGACTGAAAGGAATGAAATATTTGCAAACCTTACTAGAAACCAAACCTGCCAACCTCTTGATCTGTCAAAGATGCAAAAAGTTACAAAGACTCAAAAAAGAACTTGTGAGAAACAAAGCTGTTATTGAAGCCATAAGTCTGTGGTATTGTTATTGGTACCCTCGTTGACTAAACACGCCCTACCCGCTGTGCCTCTTTAATAAATTGTGTTGGCATCACTGGACGGCTACATGCAAAAAAATAGGCTCAGAACTCTGCCTAACACCATGTACAAAAGTAAGATCAAAATGGATTAAAGACCTCAACATCAGACCAGAAACCATAAGGTACA